TTCATGCCGCCTCGAGGTTTCGGGCACAGGGGGGCCCTTCCCCACGAACAACAAAACTAGGGTCAGGACCCGAGGGGATGAACAGGATGAGGAACGGGTGAGGGAAGGGACACAGGAGGAGAGGAGGCGAGGGGAGAGGGGGAGTGGAGGGCTGAGGGGCGGAAGGAGGGCTGAGGGAGGGGGATGGCTAAGGGGGGGGGGGGGGGGGGGCGGGGAGGGCTCGGTGGTATATATATATATATATATATATATATATATATATTATATATATATATATATAATATATATACATATATATATAACAAAGAAAAACGCCCGAGCTGCCCCGGGTTGGCCTGCCTTGGGCAGCGAGCTGCTGTGTTTCACGGCGTGCGCGATCCGCTCCTGCGTGTGCGATGCGGTTGAGGGCGGCTTGTCGGCAGTCATGAGGGCTGCGCTGCGCTTGTTCTTCGGTCAAAGCTCGTCTAAGCCAGATCTCCGTCGCGGCATCACTATTGCTGTTGGCAATCGGCCAGCGCTGCTCCATGGGGAGCTCGAAATTCTTATTCGGGACGAGCGTGCGCATAAGTACGCCATGCACCTAAAGGAAGCGACTGGAATAAAAGTGTGCATGTTGTGCAGCAACGTAGTTGAACCTCATTCGAATCTTCTGAAGGACCCAAGTGGGTTCTGGGTGTCCGCATGCTGTCTCGATGTGGGTAACTTTAGGCATTGCACCCATCTGGAGCTGCAGGGGCCCCAGGCGCGGTTGAGGGAGATAGCGCAGACAGGGGCCAAAGCTCAGCTTGAGAAAACAGAGATCCTGTGTGGCTATATCTACAACCCGTCATCATTGCTGCACTGCGCGTCTTTGAACATAGACGTTTCCAAGGTTGTTGCTTGGGATTGGATGCGCTGCTACATCGTCGGGGGATTATTCCAACGAGAGGTTTCAGAGTTTGCGCAACGCCTCAAATATTTGAAGATGGGTGTTGGCCCCAATGAGATTCACGGTTTCTTGAGCCAGTGGCAGTGGCCTAGAGGCTACGGGCACGCGTAGTCTTGCTTTTCGACTGGTGAGCTCACAGGAAGCGCATCACAGGTGATTAGTCTCGCGTGTGTGCTGGGTCAGTTTGCCAAAGACAAGTTGATCCCCCTTGGCGTCCTTTCGGCAGGATCCTCGAGTTGCGTTGCCCTCTGCGCTGTTTTAAACATGCTTTCAATTGTGAATTCAGGCTTGGTGTCGCCCAAATCCCTAGCCGACGCCATATGTGGGCATCTCGTCCTCCACAGACAAGCGTACGCTACCGACCTGTGGAGACCAAAAGATCATTGGATCTTACACCTGCCCAGGCAGCTCCTCCTCCAGGGTTGCTTGGTTAGTTGTTTCCTCATGGAAAGGAAACATCGGGTTGCAAAGCGCATGATGAACGACAGGAAAAATACAACGCAGTACGACTTCGGTGTGATGCAAGAGATCACCACACACCACCTGCATGACCTTGAGAATCACCCTGTCTTTGGAGCACAGATGCTAGCCCCGAAAAAATGCCAGCCACAAACTCAGGTCGTCGCTGATCACAGCGTTTGGTTTGGATCCGAGCTGCGTCGTTGTGAGCTCTAGGTCGATTCATGCGCATTCGAGGGCCGTCTTGATAGGTGATGTGGTTTCGTTTCGCACGGAGCGCGGGATTTCTTTCGGACAAGTGTATATACATGTGTCGATTGACGACACCCTGTGCAGCTTGTTATCCGTGTGGAAGACCGCTTCTGTCGAAGAAACGTCAGCCACGTGCGTGGTGACCGAAGATCCCCAATTGGTCTTGGCGTCTGCGATAATAGAGCCGTGCGTTTTTAAGGTCACAGATACTGGAGGTATATCAAAAGTTCTTTTTGCCCCAAATCTGAGACAGCGAGCTCCTTCGCGAACCCGCGGCAAGGAGGAGGCTAAGGGTGGGAAAAGGAGAAGCAGGACAAGGAGGAGGGGGAGGCAGATGAGACGGAGGAGGAGAGGGAGAAGGATGATAAGGAGGATGAGGATGAGGACGCAGAAGGAGGAGAAGGATAAGAGAAACAAGGGCACATGAAGGAACGCGGGCAACGAACGGGGAGCCCGACGCTAAGTCCAGCTGGCATTCACAGTTGTCTGGTTCGCTTCTCCCCCTCCCACTGTCTTCCTGTTCCTCCTGCTCCTCCTGCTCCTCCTCCTCCTCCTCCTCTTCCTCCTCCTCCTCCTCATCCCTCCCCCTCCTCCTCCTTCTTCCCCTCCTCCTCCTCCTCTTCCTTCCTCCTCCTCCTGTTTCGCCCCCTCCTTTTGGTGAGGCGTGCTCTCATTTTACGATGGCGGAAACCCGCCGAGCAGAAGTTGCACTCGTCCATTGGACGCGCACCAACTAGTGTGAACTGCCTGCCCTTGCCTTCAAAAAAAGAAAAACAGGAACCTGGGCCTCAAAAGACGATTTCACAATCGGTGTTTGGGCTTCGCGGAGTTGGATTTGCCAACTGTGAGACTGGATTTCCTGGTCGGGGTCCTGAAAAAACGAACTCCAAGATCGACTTTGGGGATTCTCGTAAGCAAGTTAGCACATTTGCTAACCAGGTTAGCTAACCTAGGTACTAACTTGAAAATCCTCTATCAGTAACCTGGTTAGCAAATAGGTCAGCTAACCTCCTAACCTCGCCGCTAACCTCTTATAACTACACAACCTCCATACCAACCAGGGCGGCGATTCAAGTATAGCCCTATACCTCTATCGCTTTATAGCCCTATAGCCCTATAGCCCATATAGCCATATGGCCATATATAGCCCATATAGCGCCCAAAAGCCCATATAGCCATGTAGCCCTATAGCCCTACAACCTTAAACATATTAAGTATGATTGGGTTTTCTCTGGTATCATTAAACATATATATGTATATACATACACATTTACATACATGTGTATATATGTATCAGTTCATTTGCTCTTGCCGCTTCCGACAGGTTTCTGAAAGGACGGGCGAGCAAAGTGGTGGTGGTGTGCTGGTGTGTGTGTGTGTGTGTGTGTTTGTCCGAGCTCGGCCGGGCGTAGACGCGTGCGCTACACTGCTTGCATTGGCCTTTCTACACCCCGTTGCCGCGCGCGGGGCCACGACGCCAAACTGTGTATGTGTGTGTGTGTGTGTTTGTGCGGGGGGGGGTGCAGGGGCGGAGGATGAGTTGGCTTCTTGGCTTGGGCTCGATTGCTCAGTTAAGTCGCGTTTCGTGCCCATGCAGGCTCCGTGCGCAGTCTCTCTGACGAGCGTGGAAATCGACATTGCGTGCCGGCTCCCCGCGAGTTGGCTGAAGCACAGGTTTGGAGTCCAGGCGCAAGCGCACAGGGGATTGTTTTCGATGATGCTTAGCACAGTGCTCAGCTCGCCCTACCTACGCACTGTAGTGGCATAGCTTGGCACAACAAACCACTCGGCGATGGCTGTCTGACTGACAGCAGCACGCACGGCACAATTTACCACATTGGACGGGATGGGACCGTGCAGCGAATTTGTGTCAACGGTTCGCATCACACACATACATGTTATTTTGCATGTCGTGGGACATGGCGAAAGCCGAGTCGAGACCCCCCTTGGTGTGATATTAATCGGTGAAGCAAGGGAAGCGATCAAACGGTGCGGCGACTGTGGGGTAATTGTTGACGCTTCGCGAATCCCCACCAGTCCATTCAGAAACGATGCCCGGAGGAAGTGCCTCGATCAGGGAAGTGGGCAGCACACAGAGGAAGCCAGTATGAGACATCTTGGGATATCTGGAGCCATCTTGGAGGTCATCTTGGGCTCTCCCAGGCGCTCTTGGAGTCATCTGAATCAGTGCCCCCCCCATGTGGTTAAAACCTTAGTAACATCAATGATTTGGCATTTTCGCCGAGGCCTCTTGGAGCATCTTGGGTGCCTCTGGGGGGTCTCTTGGTGGGAGCCTCTTGGGGGGCATCCTGGGGCTTCCTGGCCACCTCTCGGGGCACCCTTGGGAGCCTTGGGGGCCATCTTTGGGCCATCTTGGGTGAGATCGATCACAGGAAGGGGGGGTACGGATTACAGTCCCCCCCTCAGGACGCCAAAATGGCGCCCACACCCTAGTAAAACCAATGACCTTGGCTTCCTCGCCGAGGCCGTTTTGGACGCTCCGACGACTCGCGAAACCCCTTGTCCAGGTCCAGGGGAGGGGGTAGGGGGAGGGGTAAACCCCTCCCCGAAGGGGAAGAAGGAGGGGTGGAAGAGGAAACGCCCTAAACCACCGACGCCCAGAGGGCTGGTGGGATTTATAATTCGCCCCATCCGTTCTTCCCACCCGTATCCTCCTTCCTCCTCCCTGCAGTCTCCTCTTTGTTCTCTACTCTCTTCCCCGCGTTCCCTGCTCGGCGCCGATCCCGCATCACTCCTTCCCTCCTCATCGCCTCCTCCCTCACGCTACCCTCCTCCCCGCTTGTGTAGGACCTGGTGCGCGTGCCGTCTTCTGGCGGCTTCGCACGCAGTGCCCTCGCCAGTGCCGCTGATTTCTACATGCTGCACGCTGGCTTGTGCTTCTTGGTCCGGGAGGGTACGGCGGCAGGCTGGGGTTCTCAATTTTGCTTCGGCCACCAGGTTTTCATTTCTTCACGTTGCGAGGTACCTTTGCTGCGACATGAGGTGTGAGCGGCAAGGGGTCGCTTTTGTTACATGGGCTTCTCTCGTCCATCCTCCCCTCCTTCCCTCCCCTCGTTCCCATCCCTCCTTCCCGCCATTCCATTATCCCCTTCCCCCTCCGCGCTCTCCTTTTTCCTCTCTCTCTCTCTCTCTCTCTCTCTCCCTCTTCATCCTCATCCTTCCCGCTCCTCGTCTCTCATTCCATTTCTCCCCTCCTCCTTGTTCCCCCTTCTCCCTCCTCCACTCCGCCCTCCTCCCCGTGCCGCCCTCCTCCCTCCTCCCATCTCCCCTTCCCCTCGTTCCGCCCCCCTCCCTCCTCGCCTCCTCCCTCCTCCCCATCCTCCCCCGCCCCCCTTGCCAGGCACTCCTGGGCGTGGAGATCCCCGCCTCCGCGGAGGCGGGCCCGCCCGGGGCATCTTGTTATCGTCGGCGTCAGTCCCAGCGTCGGCTTTAGCGACGGCGTCCGCGTCGGCGTCTTCGGCCTGGTCGTCGCCGGGCTCGTCGTCGTCGTCGGCTTCGTTGTCGTCGGATGAGGAGCGGAGAGTGAGCGGAGAAGGGTGTATGGAGGAAGAGGGATGCGGGAATCATGGATGAGGAGGGCGGAAGACACATGATCAGTTGGCCGGAGGAGGGAGGCAGAAATCATGATGGAAGATTTGGAGGCCGGGGGAGCAGTGGGACCCGCCGGCCCACCTCGTCCTAACTCGTTCCAGAGTTCCTGAGGGGGGTGAACGGGATCCCTCTTTGGTCGTTTTGAGGGGGGATGCATGGATGTCCGCGGTTCGGTCGGCTAGGCTGCGACGCAGTCGGTTGCGTTCGACCGTTTCGGTCAAAAGTTTGGTCGGGTAGTGTATCGTTGCTGCCATGGGTCGACCGAAGTGGTGTTTTCGTTTCGAATTAGTTTTGCAGCAAAGGCGAATCGAAGACAACACGAGGGCGAACGAGAACGGAACGAACACGAGAAACACTGTTTAGGTCGATGCCCGGTTGCTGCGTCGCTGCGGCCTTCCAGGCTGGTCGCGGTTTTGTTAGTTCGGCCCGTTTTCGCTTGTACAATCGGCGTGCACGGCCCGCGGGCCCAGACCCACTCGGCGGCTTGGTGTCTCCGGACATAGCCTCCGCGGCAGGGATGGATCCATGGCCACCGCTGGGAGGATCGATCTCCAGGGACCTCCGCAGGCAGGTAAAATGGTTCCCAGGATGTCGGTTGGCATCGCATGGGCCCCCGGACATTTCCATTCATTCCCGCGGGGACCAGAATCCGCCGTGGCGTCTTTCTGTGGCCCTCGCTCGTTCGTCTTTTTCGAGCCTCGTTCGGTCCCTGCTTGCCGGCTGGGAATTAGCGCTTGGCTCGAACCCACGTCCAATACAAGCAAAAAGCAGGTCTTCCGTCCCAGACAGTTTTTTTTCTGGCTGCGCCGTGGCCCAAGACGGGCCTCCGAGGCCGACGTGGAGGGAAGAGCGGTGGGGTGTGCCAGAAGCGAAAATTGTTCTATTGCTGCCTGGTTGCAAAACCTGCGAGGTTGAATTCAGTATCGGCGCTGGTGTATCCGTGCTCGAAATTCGGCCCGATCCGGCATAATCCTGCTCACGCCCGCTCAATCTCGCCCAATGTGGCTCAATTTCTGGACTCATCCGGCCCAATCTGGGTCCTGATGGCCCCTTAATTGGGTTGAATAGGTTTTAGCTGTTCTTATATGAGGGCTTCCCAGGAGTTGCTTCCTAATTTCAGCATCGTCTAACCTGTCCCCATCCCCACTTGGCCATGGTATCTCAGCCCCACCAGTCCGCTCTTCTAGCTGGGGATGGGCCCGCGAGCCCCCAGAGAGCAGGCATATGCTCCAGTGCTTTGTCCCCCCCCCTCCCCAATGCTAACGGGATCTCCCCACCTATGGGTCCTCCCCCCTGCGGGTGTGGGGTAGTGTAGTGCTGCGGTGCCCCACGTCCGCTCCCCCTGGATGCGGGCTGGTGCTGCGGGGCCGCCGCCGTCGTCGTCGTCATCGTCGTCGTCGTCTTCGTCGTCGTCGTCGTCGTCGTCCCCCCAGTGTTCGGGAGGGGGCCGTGGGGCCCTGGGAACCGTTCCACCTGGGGGGGAGGGGGGGGGGCCTGGGCTCTCAGCCCTGGAACACATATCCCCACCAAAGCAGGCAAGTCAGCCAGTGGGGCCAAGGCCGCGCCAGTCGGGACAGGGATCGGCTCAGCGATGCTCATATCTCTTGTGATCAGAGGCTGCGCCACCACTGGGCCTGCGGGGGCGGGGGCAGGTCGAGCGGCTCCGGGCCCTCGTGCGCGACCTGGAGCTGGCGGACCTGGGGGCGGCCGCGGACGGGCGGTTCTTGGGGCCAGGGACTCGACGCGCGCGTGCGCAGGAGAAGTCGAGACGAGACACGCGCCTACACCGACGCCAATGATTCATTTGCTTACGCCGCACCGCCGACCCCCTTGAGGCGGCAGCAAGAGTGAAAGACATAATTCGCGGAACGCGCGCGATCGCCGGCCAATCTTGGGGTTTCGGCCTGTCCTACGTAGCGTGTGGGTTTAAACGGGGGGCCTTGTAGGGGATTATTTTGAAGTTTTTCATGGTCTTATGTGAGTTTTTTGGGGCCTTCACGGGGCCTGTCCCAGGCCTCCTTTTCCACCTCCTGGATATGCTCGGGGATCGTTGGGTCCCAGCTGGGGTTGCGTCCGGCCAGAAGTTCGAGAGTTGACCCAGCTGTGTCGACGAGGAGCCTCCTGAAGGCCCAGAGGGCTCGGAGAGCGCCCAAGAACTAGAAGTCTGATGCCTCGAGCCTCGATCCACCCCATGTTTCTTCCTTTGCGAAGGGGTGGCACCGGCTAGGGAGGTCGATCCTCATCCAGGTCTTTCGGCGGCGGTCCTCGGCACCGAAGTGGGTTCCTGGAGGCGGAATTCGAGGAGATGCTTCGGGTGGTCGAAAGACCACGAAAATTTGTGTGACATCGGCGGCGACGGCGAACGTTTTATTTTTTCTTCCTCTTCCTCCTCCTCGTCCTTCTCCTCTTCTGCTTCTCCATCGAGGTAGATGCCCGCGGCAGTTCCTATACATACAAATATATTTATATTCAGGGAGAGAGAGAGAGAGAGAGAGAGAGAGAGAGAAACAAAAAAACATGAAGAGAGAGAGAGAGAGAGTCGAGAGAGAAAGTGGCCTTCGGCCCATCCCGCCACTGGCCTGAGATCCCTGGTGCCTGGGTTGTGGGTCAGAAGTTACGTGCTTCAACTGGTACTTGGGTTTTTTTTTAGCTCCTTGGGGGCCTCTTGGGGCGTCTCGGGGGGCCTGTTGGGGGCCTTTGGGGGCCTCTTGGGGGGCCTCTTGGGAGCCTCATTAGCCCTGTTGGGCGCCTCTTGGGCCTCCCAAAGGCCGTTTTGGGGCGGAAGGCTCGGATTGTTGGTGCAGGCTCCCCCTCTTGGGCCCCTCTTTGGGCCGTCTCGGGGCACTTTTGGACCGCTTTGGGAGCCTATTGGGCCGTGTTGGCGCCCTCTTGGGCCGTTTCGAGCGCCTCTTGGGAGCCTCTTGGGCCATTTTGGAGCGGTTTTGGGGGACTCTGGGGCCGCCTTCAACGCCGTGAAGGCCGAAAAGTTGTGTATGATAGAGATGCACGTTTCCCGATAGGAATTCAGCATTTTGGCCTCTGGGGCTCCTCTTGGTGGAGGCTTTCGGCTTCGGGGCCGTCTGGGAGGCTTCTGGGGCCGTCTTGGGGCCATCCTGGGCGTCTTGGGCCGACTTTTGGGCGTCTCGGTGGTCTCTTAGGCCGTCGTGGGGGCTGCTTAGAGCCCTCTGGGGTCTCGTGGGGTCTGTGGCACCTTTGCCCCCCGCCCCTCCACCCCCTCTCCAAACTGGCCGGACCAGGCTCCAGGGGGAGGGGTATAGGGAGGGGGAAGCATTTCACACGTCGGCGGACTTCCTCCGCCTCCTCGTCATCCTCTCCTCTTGTCTCGCACTGCAGATGTCCAGGTAAACAAACCATAATCCAGTGGTGGCCACGGCCTCGAGCACCTGGTCTGAGCCAGGCCTGGGCGTTCGTCTGCATCGGTGGTGGTTTGTTCGTTCCGTTTGATCGCGTTCGCACGCGCTGCGTCGTCGTGGTCGTCGTCTGGCCGAGCAGGTCGAGATTCGGAGGAGGGCTGGTTGAGACAGCGGTAGTTCGCCTTTCGGGGGGGCCCTCGTCGCCACGGCTGGACGCAGCTCGGGTATTTGGTGCGCTTGGGGTTGGGGAGGGGTTTGGGGACCGATTTTGAGTTGTCGTTGTCTCGACTCTCCGGTTTCGGGGGCCCAGTAGTTGTGGACCAATCTCGATTCCCGATCTCGAGCCCCAGGATCCTCGCTCGTCGGTTCAAGCTCGGGACAGACCACGGGCGTGGCTCTTGCCGATGTCGTAGTCATGGTACAGTGAGGCTCCTGGAATAAGGTCCAGGGGCTCGGTGGTTTGGTTCCTTGGGTCTGCTGGCGTTCCCTCGCCATTGCGCCACGAAGCCCCCTCGGCGTTCCTTGGTTTATGGCGCGCGCGCAATCGATTCGCCGAACGGGGCGGATGATCTAAGGAACGGGGCCCGAATAGGGACTGGGTTCCCTGCGCCGCTGCGACGATAATGTGCCGCGGGTTCGTTTGGGTCGTCCCTTGCGGCGCGCGTTTTGAGGTTCGCGCGTATATCAATGTACAAACATGGTCGCGTTAGGGCCCAGATCCTCGCGCAAACCCCTCGGTTCCTTGCGCGACGCGGTTTGAGGTTCGCGCGCATGCCAAAATATTACATCTGCAACGTTAGGGCCGAGTTCCTGGCGCTAGCCCCTCGGTTCCTTACGCGATGCGGTTTGGGGCTCACGCGCATGCCCAAATTTGAAATCTTCAACGTTCGGGCCGAGTGCCTGGCGCTGGCCCTTCGGTTCCTTGCGCGACGCGGTTTGAAGCTCACGCGCATGCCCAAATATGAAATCTGCATCGGTAGGGCCGAGTTCCTGGCGCGAGCCTTATTTCGAGGACTTTCCAGGGTATGTACCCCGTATTGGGGTTACTAAAATTATTGTCCTACTAATACTATTACTACAACTACTACAACTACTACTACTACTACTACTACTACTACTACCGCTACCACCACTACTACTACTGCTACTACTACTACTACTACTACTACTGCTGCTGCTGCTACTACTACTACCACGATTACTACTTCTACGACTACTACTACTACTACTACTACTACTACTACTACGACGGCTACTACTACTACTACTACTACTACTACTGCCACTACTGCCACTACTACTACTACTACTACTACTACTACTACGACTACTACTACGACTACTACTAGTACTACTACTACTACTACTACTACTACTACCACTACTACTACTACTACTACTACTACGACTACTACTACTACTACTACTATTTCTACTACTACTACTATTACTACACCTGCTACTACTGCTACTACTGCTACTACTGCTACTACTACTACTACCTTTACTACTACTACTACTACTGCTACTACTACTGCTTCTACTACTACGACTACTACTACGGCTACTATCACTGCTACTATTACTACTACTTCTACTACTACGACTACCACTGGTACTACGACTACTACTACTACTACTACTACTAGTACCCCTAATACTGTTAGTACTACTACTATTCATATCACTACTACTACTACTTCCACTACTACTACTACTAGTACTACGACTATTACGACGACTACTACTACTACTACTACTACTACTACTAGGGCTACTATTACGACTACTACTACTATTACTACTACGACTACTACGACCTATTACGACTACGACCACTACTCTTGCTAGTACGACTACTACTACTGCTACTACTACCACCACTACTACTACTACTACACTACTACATCTACTACTACTAGTAATCCTACTACTACTGCTACTACTACTACCGGTATGACCACTACTGTTGCTACTACGACTACTACTACTACTACTACTACTACTACTACTACTAACTACTACGACTACTACTACTACTACTACTACTACTACTACTACTACTACTACTACTACTACTACTACTACTACTACTACTACTACTACTACTACTACTACTACTACTACTACTACTACTACTACTACTACTACTACTACTACTACTACTACTACTACTACTACTACTACTACTACTACTACTACTACTACTACTACTACTACTACTACTACTCTACTACTACTACTACTACTACTACTACTACTACTACTACTACTACTACTACCTACTACTACTACTACTACTACTACTACGACTACTACTACTAGTACTACTACTACTACTACTACTACTACTACTACTACTACTACTACTACTACTACTACTACTACTACTACTACTACTACTACTACTACTACTAACTACTACTACTACTACGACTACTACTACTACTACTACTACTACTACTACTACTACTACTACTACTCTACTCTACTACTAGTACTACTACTACTACTACTACTACTACTACTACTACTACTACTACTACTACTACTACTACTACTACTACTACTACTACTACGACCACTACTACTACTACTAATACTACTACTACTACTACTACTACTACTACTACTGCGACTGCTACTACTACTATTACTACTACTACTCGTGCTATTGGTGGCCGCGGTTATCGAGGTGCCCGTTTTGTCTACGGTGTCTTCGGCGGTGCCGTCAGACCTGCGAGGCTTTGAGTACGTTGATCTGTCCCGAGGTCAACGCCCTAGTGCATTGCATTGGACAAGTGGTACGACTACAACTCTTTACTGGGACTCCCACAGTGGGACTCCCTAGTGCAACCCCCTAGTATTAGTACAACTCCCTAGTGCATCACCTTAGTGCAACTCCCCAGTGTAACTGTCTAGTGCAAATCCATTAGTGCAACATCCCTTTGTCCAACTCCCTAGTACAATGCCCAGTAGGACTCCCTGGTACAACTCCTTATCACTAGAACGGCTCCCTAATGCAACCACTATTAGGCGTGTTTCTGCATTGCACTTACAATCTGGGCTCTCGCGCTTTTCCTCCTCTGTTTGCGCTTGGGGGGTGGAACCCGTCTCGCGGGCACCTCCGCGGCTGAGAATTCATTCTTCTTCTGGAATTTGAGGCGGGGGCAACCCCCGTGCTCAAACCCCTCGCCAGGTATGTTGTATCCCCGCGAAAGCCGGACTCCCTGGGTTCTTGGGCGCGCCCCAGATGTTCTTGTCTTTCGGATGGGCCCCCATGGGTCCTTCGTTGGAGTCGCGGGGCTGATGCTTGGGGGCCTTCGGGGCTCTCGTCATCCCTGCGCCCAGCTTGCAACACAGGCCTTGCCGTTCCTTGCGCGGCGCGGTTTGAGGCTCACCTAAATACCCAGACAAAGCAGTGGTCACGCCAAGGCTCTCTTCCTCACGCGAGCCCCTCGGTTCCTGGCGGTCGATGCAGGTCCAAATTTGGCCAGGGGTGCCGTCGGGGCTCTCTCTCTCTCTCTCTCTCCCCGCTCGTGCGTCCAGTTTTTTAATACGAGCAAAAGCCCAGCCGTTCCTTGCGCGGCGTTCACCAGTGTTTTTTTTCTTGTTGCGTGCCGTGGGCACCCGTTCCTTAGGTTTCGGCAGAGGGTGGGATTTCTGTCAAAACGAACGGCAACGATGAGAGAACGCTTCCCAAAAAGGGGCTCGGCCGTTCCTTACAGATTGATTAGTTGATTATGAAAAGAAAGGCTTCGTTCCTTACATCGCGTTCCTTCTGGCAGGGGCCTGACTGTACAACCAGCTTGGGCCCAGGATTGGGTCGTCCAACGTTGGCGCATAATGTAACGGCCACGGCGCCAACTTCCGTATGAAAGGAGGAAGTCCAAGTCTATATGTGAGTTCGTTGCTTGCTCGTTGCCAGGTAACCCAACGTTGCATGATCGCGCTTCCATCCAGCCACTTTGTTCAGATTGCGGTTGGTTGCGGCCGACAGTCTGCCATTACCCGCGCCGTGGCCCCTGAATTTTTGAAATTCGACGTCGCAAGTGACGTCTCCATCGGTCTCATCCTTCCACTTCTCGCTTTCATACACGACTGCGCATTACGGCTGCGCATTCTCTTCCCCTGTCAGCGGGGTGGTGGTCATGCTCTTCACAGCACGGCATGGCACGCGGGCACGAAACGGCACATGTTCCGCATTCACGGCATGCACGCGGCACGCAGGCGTTGTGCGACACGGCCGGCACATGTTCTGAATATTGGATTGTTTGTGAGGCGCGGCTTTCGGACACGGCGTACGGCACCGCCTGGCACAATTGTCACATTCTAGAACGTAGGTTCGGCACGGCACAATCCCAGTGCAGAACCTATGCAACGCACATCGTCTGCATTCCAGAAAGGCACGGCATGTGGGCACGGGGCGGCACGGCATGGTTCGGCTCGGCATGTTGAGCGGCATGACTGTTGCATTAGACCCTTCAGAATCGGATTTTCCTGCAGCAATTTAGACTTGTTTGCAGCATTCGTTGTTTATGGGATTGCTGATATAAAGTTCGCAAGTTCGGCGCCCGTGGTCCGCTGTTCGGACCCTGGAACCATCCGACAACGATCGGCGACGAGAGCGCAGTCCGCGGCCCGCGCAATGGAACGATCACGACCTCGGATGTCGCCTCCGTACTTTCGGGATGTGGCGGGGTGGCTTCAAGGGCGCTCGTCGTTGGTCTTCGCACGGTCTTTGCTCCTTGTTTATGAGCACCTCGTGACACCAGATGTATGCAGATACAGCTGGACAGCGTTCGCTCGTCCACGGGCGGGTCGTAGTCCTGCGTTCTCGAAGTTTCATCATTACCTTCTCGTTGCAATGTGGCGTGCTGCCTTCGTTGCACCGAGCGGAATCTGAACACCGCTCACGGGGGTTCGAGAGCACATGTGTAGTAGTGTGATCAATCCGAGGGTGTGCCAAGGTCGGAGCAGGAGTGTAAGCCTCGGGTGGATCTGCCTGCATTGCTCTTGCGCGCTGAGGTCACGGACGGTGTCAGAGGCTTCCCAATTGTGTGTTCATTATTGTTGGTAGGTTTTGACACGACATGCCAGATGTGAATGTATCACTGATGCATATCGCTGTGATGTTGTGAAGCAGACATGTTTGAGAGACAGCTGGTTGGACTTTGAGGCTTGCCTGTTATCGGCAGAAGGCGCCATGCTATACAGCAGCCTTGATGAGCTCCACTGGTTTGGGATGATTCGTTGCAATGGAGGAGGAGAAGAAGGACGGTGTCTGAAAAGGACGATAACGGAGGAGTGGTTGCCTTGCATGCAGAAGCGCTAGGAGTGGGCACACCCACAAGATTTTGGTGGCGCCATACGAGAGTGCCATACAAGGCCGCGTCCTCGAGCTCGTTCGCCATCAAGCGAAAGGGTCTTGAGTGAATCGGGCTCCAGACCTGGGTCCTCTCCCCAAGACCCAGTTGTTCCTGAAGAGTAGTTGTTTGACTATGCTGGGCCCAGTGGAGGGCCCCAGGGGCCCGCAGACAGCGAAACATCTGCAGGACCCCGTTTCTTCGGTGTTTGATCATGAACCCCTTGTTGAACGCAACCGCCCAGCGTTCGCGCCGAAGACCGCCAGAAATTGCCACCGACCACAAAAGACCGCGGAAGACCGCCAGAAGGCCGCCAGAGTCCTCCGAAGATCGCCAGAGGACCGCCGAAGGCCGCCCCTGCGCGGGCGGAGGGGCACCGTTCTCCCGTGGCCGGTCATTGGCAGTGGACTGACAGCCTTGCAGAGAAGGGGGTTTGATCGGAAGGGGTTTTGAGGTCTTTCACTTGTTTCGGCAACCCCGAATCGAGTAACGCACAAAAAACACATAAACTCACACACGCACACACACACACCTTCGCAGGTCCGCGTGGATTTCGGCGATTGGACCCCCCTGGCCCCTCCGCGCCGCCCTTGGCGCGCTCGCGCGCCAGGGAGGGGAGTCCAATCACCGACCCAAGGAATCCGCACGGCCCTTCGCACGTACATGCGTTCGCCAGTTTTTGTTGTTTCTGCCTTCGGCCCTCGTTGGGCCCCGAAGCCGTCAAACATCGGCTCCAATAGGGTAGGACTGCCTATTCCTGGAGGGACCCTAGGGGTGCCATGGCCCGCTTCCCTCGGGACCCTCCCTTTTCCCTCCTTGTGCCGAACGGGGTGAGCAGAATCCGCGGCGTCGGAGGCGGGCGCCAAGAGGGGGTCAGGAGGAAAACGTGGAGCGGCAGGCGCCGACGCCAGCGCCGACGCCCGCGCCGACACCCGCTCCCACGCGGGCGCGCCGCCGCTCTCCTCTCGGCGTGGAGGCCTGCCAAGCATGGGACTGGAGCAGATGTGTTCGGAGGTGCACGGGCGATACAGCCAAGACGCTGAAGTAAGGAACAGGTTGGGTTCGGAAGGGCCTCGGTGTTCCTTGGGTCCTTTCGTGGCTGTTCCTCCGGCCCTCCTCGTGCACCCAGGCTCTTCTGGTGCCAAGAAGGGGCGTGAAGCAGCCAAACGCAACGCGCGCGTGGGCAAGACAGTTGGCGAGCGTGCGAGCTACGCCAAACGCGTTAGCTGGCGGACAGGAGGCGCCAAACGCGCGACAAGACAGACAGCGACGACGCGCCAAATGCGCGCCGGGAGGATGAGGAGAGGAGGAAGATGACGATGATGTGTGTTTCAGCCAGGGCGCACAGGCAATGCAATTCTCATTCAATCAATTTCTTTTCTATTCAACATCGAGGTCATAATCACATGCAAGCTTTTCTTGGGTAGGCTTCGGATTTGGGGGGCGTGCACGCAGAAAACACCAAAGATGCCATTCATCGTACGAATCTTGATCCAAGCGAGTCTGTCTGAGACCTGCTTGTACGAGCGGACTCGTGCCCATATTCTCTCTGATATAACACACCCCACTCCAGTGTACGTTTGCCCGTCCCCTTCTGCACCTGACAGTACCACAACATACCCGTTGAAGGTATAGTTGTCTGATTGTTTTGCTCGTGTTTCCTGCAAGCAAATCACTTGGATATCAAGGCTCTTCATGCGCACCGTAATTTCCACAAGTTTCTCCTCTGTCAAGCCTTTGACGTTCCACGTTGCAATATTGAATTCTGGGTTGTTGTTCTCATGGAGGCTGTTGCTCCTTGAGGGTGAAACTCTTCCTGTGCGTCCCTGGCTGTGTCAATTCGCAGGCTTTCCTTTGCCCGCTCCTTTGGACAGACTGGTCGCGTTCTTGTCCAGCCTGTCGGTTGTCTTCTGCTGTATTCGCCTTCTATTTCCTTATTTCGCATTCCGTATGTCAGCAGCCAAGCTGTAGGGCGATCAGGGACCAGATAGTCAAGACGCATAGCAAGGATGAGCAATTTTCCAAGGCTATGCTGTACTTGCATCCTTGGCGAGGTTCGCTGGCGAACCTCTTTCGAAACGCCATAGCCCTCCAAGTTGCTTGCATTCTTACCCCGCATCTTGATTATGCGGCTTGATTGTACTGTCTCCACCCCGGCGTCGCCCATGCATCGTCGATGCACCTGCGCCGCGGAGTGGTGTTCCGACCGCATCTCTTTCAGTCGTCTCCCGGCAGCCTCCAACAGCTATCTTCTTGAGTCGAGAAACAAAGAACGGTGTAAACAGAAACATTTGGAGTTCCACGCGAATTCTTTTGATCGGCGCTGGGCGCCACTGACGGCGCCTCCAGCGCCGTCCGCCAGGGTGGGGGGGGGGGGTCGAGCAATTGGCCTAGAATTCCGCAGGGATCTCGGATAGTTCATGTTAATGCTTGCCCAACCCCAAGTGCCCAGCAATCGGCTGCCAGTCTATGAATGCCAATAATGCAAGAATGTAAGACCAATGCTGCGAAGAATGTGAACAACAAGTACCATGAATGCCCATAATGCGAACCAAGAGGATTACGACTACGAGAAATGCAGACCAATATTTCCAATACCGTGCAACACCAGTGCTGCGCATACCAAGATTCCAGATAAACTGTAAAGACATGAGAGGCGACTTTGAACGCATCCATGCGTTGATCCAGAGCCTGCCACGCCTCGACGCCGTCTCGCCGCGACTCCGCGAGGCATTCTCATTGCGACACCGTGGCGCCGAAGCGCGCGACGTGGTTTTTGGTCAGTTGACATGCGCGGTGGCCCCGCGGCGGTCATCGGATTCGGTTTTCATGTTCGTCGCCCTCATCCCCGTTGCATTCATCCTGTCCGCAGATGTTGTGGGGGGCCTTCTCTTCGCCATCTCCCCTGCCATGCCCTTGCCCGTCGTACCTCCGCTGGTGCCGTCCCCGTTGCGCCCGCCTCGCGCACTCCCGCCCCCTCTTTCTGATCGTCGCTCGTGGCATCTGGTTGGATGCTGCGAGAGAGAGAGAGAGAGAGGCGGAATTTCCGAGCTCTACAGCGGAATTTGCCTGGTTTGTGGGGGGGAGGGTGACCGCAAGGTCATCCGGCCATGTTCAACACCCAAGGCCTAAAGGTTGGTGCCAACAGCAAAATTCGGCGATGTGCCTCCACCGATTCAAGATGATCCCGATCTCGGCGATGGGGGTAATATTCGGGCATCCAGGTGGTTAAAAATTACCACGGACACCAAAGCCCAGCATCATCTCCCCCCGGTGGAGGCACCCCCCTGTGTTGGTGTTGGTGCCCATCTCCGAGCCTCCAACAATAGTTGGCAGTGGTAATTGACAATTGCCAGCTATATTCCCAGACACTATATGTGTGGAGTTGGTACCTCGTTTTGAATCCGCATTGCCCCGCGTCTCGTTCCTCCTACAGCCACAGTGGGCATGATAGCACGCTGGGCGGCCCCATTTCGGTGCACCTTTTATGCGCGTCGTGGCCCCATGGAGAGCTCCGCCTACGGCCCCGGTGGGCGTGCTCGGATGCTGGGCGGCCCCAGTTCGGCATAACCCTCATGCGCGTCGTGGTCCCATAGCGAGCTCCACTTGCGGCCGCACTGGGCATGTTCGCGTTCTGGGCGGCTCCATGTCGGCGCCCCGCAGGTAGCTCCACCTACGGCCCCAGTCGGCGTGGTCGGATGCTGGGCGGTTCCATGCCGGCAGAACCCTCACGCGCGTCGTGGCCCTACAGCGAGCTCCACCTTTGGCCTCACTGGGCATGTTCGCGTTCTGGGCGGCTCCATTTCGGTTCATCCCTCATACGCTTCGTGGCCCCATAGGGAGCAACTGAAAACCAGCTGAAGGGTACTGACCTGCTCTGTCCCTCCTCTGCAGATATTCGGTACTTGTTTCTGGCTCGTAGTTGAACTCTCGATCGCAACTTAACCCACTATCTACCTCCCACAATTTGCGACCTTAGTCTCGAACGGGATCCCAGCTTGGCATTCGTTCCCTGCAGTCGGTGTGTGTCGTTGCGATCTGGCGCTTGTGTTATGGAAATAATCTCTCCACATCTCAACGTTAGCTGCATGCGCGCCGCCAATTGTCGACATAAGTGCATGTCGCGTGAATGCAGTATGCGGCCGTCTGCCGCAAAGCCCACCATCGTACCAGTGCAGAAGCGCACAACGGAGGAGGTTGAATTTAACACCTTGTCGAGTCAGTTTAACGCCCCTAACCTTGATCGCCTCCTCATCATCCCTCGTATCCTCCGGATTAAATGCATATAGGAGGTTGTTTGAAAGATTCTTGGAACCTCGAAGGGCCCCTGGGGGGCCTGTTGGGGTCCGTTTTAGACGCGATTGCGTTATCGGTCACTTCCAGACAAGCTGCTTTGCTGCGTTTTCTTGGGGGCGTCTGGGCGGGTGGTTGGGACCGTCGTGGGGCTCTCTTATCAGTCGATGTAGGTTGAAGTACAGCCTATATGGCACGATGCTCCAGTCGAGGCTGATTCGTCCTTCTTTCTCAATCGGACTCTGTCCGCGGCGACGCAGACAGCAACCCTATTCAAACTCAGCAGGAAATCATGTCGGTTTTTGTGCCCAGATGTTCCGTACTCCTTTCGGTCATCCCGATCGTGGGACCTCAGCCCATGTGGTGACCATTCCGCGAGGTGAGTCAGTGGGAATTCTGGGCCACCGCACGGTTTTGGGCGTCGGACCTTTCTCCGAAGACGTCTCGTGCGATTGGGGTTTCCAGGGTTCCGAGACCGTGTTGTAACGGACCGCGCGTTGAGGTCGTTGGGGATTGCGTTCTCACCACGCGGTCCGTCACCATGCGTTTTCGGGGCTCTGGGCTCACGCGATTTCCCCAATCCGTCCCTCCCTCGCCGTGGTCGTCGCCCTTCGCCCTCTCTGGTTTCACGCTTTCTCAGCCGTGCGGCGCAGAAGACGAGCTCAGGTGATTCAAGCCTGCGTCGTCAAGTTCAGTCTTCTCGCCGAATCGCCTGCGTCGGCCCTCCAGACAGAGGGTCGCAACGCGCGCCGAAGTGCCAGATGACCAGGGGGCAGGATAGTTCCGCGGACGCGCGTTGCGCTGGCTCTCTCGGCACCCCCGAGCCCCAGGAGTGCCTCGACTACGCGCCTTCGGACGAGGTGCCCTGGACCGACTCGGATGGCTTCGACTGCGACTACTACGTCGACAACGGTGGCGGGGCCAAGCGAACGACATATTCGAGTCGTGCGTAATCTGGGTCAATCTTCAAGGGGCGCGAAGATATTCGTGCTTTGCACATCGCGGCTTGGGTTGCAGAGGCTCCCTTCTCCAAGGTGGTGGCGCGAGGGCGCGAAGGTAGCCGCGCGTCGCGCATCTCGGGTCGCGATGCGCGAAGGTAGGTGACCCAGGTAATAATGGCGAACTCTTCCGGCGCATGGCCAATCGTACGTGGCACCGTTTCTACGCGGTGTGCCGCACTCGCGGCCTGCGTAAACCATTGCGTAAGGTCGCCGTACCCTCGTGCGTGAGACCTTTTTGCCATCGTCGCCTGAGAGCGGATCTTCGTGGACCTCGGGAGGCGATTGAGATGGATATGTCTGGCCCCCTGGGGGCCCACACACATCGAGTACGAGGAGATAGGTTCCTCAGACGGTGGACATGTATGCATTCCTGCCTCGCGGGGGGGGAAAGTAGGGGGAGGATGAGGGGGAAGCTATGGCGGGCAGGGCAATGAACGGGTCGAGTGGCATGGGGATTTCAGTGGTGGTGGCGCTGACCCTAAAGACATCAACGAGGCAAGTCGGCATCTCGTAAGAGATGTGGCGTTTCTCCCACACATTTCATGAGCTGATACGCAGTGCTACATGTGCGTCGCGCGTGCTGTCCAATCGGTCCTCCCGTGGCTCCTCACGTAGAGGCAGGATCTGCCCCTATTGGGACGGACATGAGATTCGGGGCCAGGTATAGCAATCACTGGTGATCTCATGAGATTCGGCCCGCAGACGGGGGCGACGCGGGCGGCCTTCCAAGAAGGCAGGGGAGGGCTTTTGAAAGCCTTCCCGCCTCCTGAAACGCCCGCTTAGGAATTTCTTCCGGGCTCTTCTAAGAAGTACCCCGTGCTTATTTGGAAGGCTGCCACCTTCGCCCCACAACAAGTTCGGTGGTATCAGCTGGGGCCCCCGCTTGGGGGATGCACGCGCACTGGCTCGAACGTAGAGCGCGCCCGCCCGCAGGCGAAGTCCCCTGGCTGGGCCAGAGGCACGGCGGGACCCCGTGCAGTCAAAAGGCCGTGTGGTCGCGTGCGGGACGCTGTACGCGGCGCGCACGCGCGTCTCGCCATGTGCTGGTGCGCTCAGGGGCACGCGATTGAGGGCATGAAGGGCAATGGCTCCTGGGGTGGGCCGCTGCTTACTGGCTCCTGGGGCCCTCCTGGCCTCGGAGACCGCCAGGGGACTGTCCCAGGACGAAGGACGGGTCCCAGTGGAAGCCCCCGGGGTCCAGGACCCAGGCCCACCAGGGCCCCCTCTCCCCCCCGTGCCAGTGCACATGCCCACAAGCACGGTTCTCTCCCAAGCAGGTTGTCTTTCCCCCTGCGAGAGCGGACCCCCTCGAGAAGTCAAGCCACAGTGTTCGACGTAAGCGGCCCACGCATTCGATCGTTCTTTTCCATTTCCTCCCAACCCCCCTTCTGCCTTCTGTCCTCCTCGTCCATCTCCTTCTGGAACGGGGGATCGGATGCGGGGTCGATCGGCTAGACGAGGCGCAAGTCCGTCGCATCTTGAAAGCTGCGGAATGTGCCTCTCTGGAGTATCTTTTTAGGTGTGGTTTCTTCGCGCCATCGCGGGTGTCGGGCCTCTTGGCCTCGCATGACACCGTAAGCGCATTCGTCTCATCCCCCTTCTGGGTGTCATCCTCTACGGCGTTGCCCCTCTGCGCAACAGGGTGCCAAGACTACAAGAGGACGTTCGAGAACTACAACCACACTGCCCTGGAGGCGCGCGGAGATCCTGCTGGAGACAGCGTCCCTCCAGGGGGTAGGAGGCTGGTTCCCCCGCGGAGCCGCGAAGATTCGCGCTGCTCGGTCTGGCCCCACCCCCGCCCCCCGACGAGGAGGAAGAGGAGGAGGTGTAGGAGGACTAGGAGGAGGGACGACAACGAGCAGGAGGAGGAGGATGAGGAGGAGGAGGAGGAGAGGGGAGGAGGAGGTTCAAAGGCACCTGGTTCGCTCCGTTGCCACGGTTCACCACGTGTGTCTGCCATCGTCGCAGGTCAGCTCGTGTGGCGTTCCCAGTTGGTTTGGCGATTTTTGAGCTCGCCAAGCAGTGGTTGTGTGGCAGCCTTGGGAGGAGGAGGATGAGTGAGGAAGAGGAGGATGAGGAGGATTTGGACGCACTCCTCGCACCAGGCGTGCTGTGGCTGCGGCGGCGGCGAGGAGGTGATCCTCGCGGCCGTCCTGGTGGTGCTCACCGTGCAGGGCGTGGGCTACGGCGGGGCATCCGAACAGTTGGAACAATACGTAGGGATGGGTAGGGGGTACGTAGGGGAGGAGCAAGGGCAGGAGAGGGGGCGAATATTTTTGGAGGAGCAGGAGGAGGACCACAGTTTACCTGAGCTTGCCGTCTTTGCCATTTTCTTTCATCGCGAATGCTGCAATGACCATGCCCCGACCACTCCCGCGAAGCAACGTGAATTGCTCAGGTGTGTCCGCGCCCAGGCGGCCATACTGGCAGGTCCGCCCTTGGTTACGCTCGAGGGCCAGAGCAAACCAACGTTCTGTCAACGATGCTGCGATACACCCTCCCGTCACAGGCCCCTTCTTTAACGGTTCTGTAAAGGCCTTTCCTTTTCTTTGCAGGGAGCGCCCCAGTCAACGACTGGCACCCCTTCTTTAACAGGTCTGCAAAGGGGAACACTACAGTTGAAAAACACGTTACCTTCATTGTTGCAGCTTGTTACAAATTGTCAAGGCGAGTGTGTTGGATGCTACGGCGAGAACACCATTTTGAAAGCGGGCCGCCCTCCATTATTGCAACTGTCTGAATCGTGCAAGGCGAACGTGCGCGGCGCTGAGGCGACGACCGCATCTTGAAAACAGGCCGCCCTCCATCCTCGAAACTGGTGCACATTTCGAGCTCCCGGATCATGAGGAGTCTCTAACCCTTGGCCCAGCCCTCGCTACCGCCATGCCTGATGGTCAGATGAGGAGAATTTGTTTAGAAGGACCAGGGATGGAGGCATATCAGGGAGACGAGGGGGGACGGGCGAATGTTTGAGGAGGAGGAGGAGGAGGGATTGGAGGAGGAGGCAGAGGACGAGGCAGAGGTGGATGACGAGTGGAGGGTGGATGAGGAGGAGCGGCAGGAGGTCTCTCGATGGTGCCAACCGCCTCAGTTCGGGTACGGTCGTCGATTTGCGCGGTAATTTCGCACTCGGTGGCCTCCGCAGGCTGTCGTTGTCGAGGGCCTTATTGCCATTGGAGGGCTAGTCTGGGGCGCCTCCTCCATTCCCCTTCCAACCCAGGTTGACTTTCTGCCCCTGCACTCCTCTGGCGGAGCCCTCCAAGGCTTCGCTCCTCCCGGACGTCCGCGTACGGCTGTATGAAGACGACGGTCAGGAAGACCACGAGGTGATCATTTTCGTGGAGTCGCAATCCCACTGTCGCGCTGCTCGAGCCAGGGCGGCCACCACCAGGGGCAGACGAGCATGCCGCAGCTCCTGCACCACAACGCCTCGGAGTCGGACCCAGCAGTATCAGCAATGACCACCCAGCAGCTGTCGCAAGTGTGGCCCTCCAACTCCGCGATGAGCGTCGAATTGTCGAGCTGGAACGCATGGACCAAGATGCATGGACACCGCATACCACCAGCTATATCGGAGACGCCCAGCGACGTATCGTCAGTGGAGTAGACGTTGTTATAGCTTAGGTCGTCGCACGACTGACTAAGGTCTTCCTCTCCAGAGCGGTCCAAGGAATTGCAATTGGAATCTGCGTCGCCAGCTCGGGGCCCAACAGCTCCCTCCTTCTCTCGACGTCCCGCCTCATCAACGATAAGGGGGCTCGGACAGGAAGGGAGAGCCAGGCTCCCATAGTGGCTCCCAGAGGCCATGCAAAAGACTGGAGGTGGCCGAGTCATCAAGCCGCTCGGCGGTCGGGAACGCACCTCCACCAGAATCAACGACAGGCGGCGGCATGGCGGGCGGCACCTTCGCCTCCAGCATCGCCTCCAGATGGGCGGCGTGCCACTCCCCGAACCCCATCGGGAGCGGGGGCAATGCCAGCGCTATGCCCCGCCAGGAGGGCACGGCCAGGAGAAGGCGCTATGCTCCGCGATGCCTACCGCTTGGGCTCCACGCGCACCGTCTCTGTTCCCATCTGCTGCCAGCTCCTCCGCCTCCGCAAGCATCGGCCGAGCAGTGACGCCCACCCTGGGCCCAGCAGCCGCAGAAGAGATTTCCTCGTCCGACGCTGACGAGAAGCCCTGCGGCGGGGCCACCGCGGGGCCACCGCGGCGTGCCAGGCCCCACTTAGACGACGCCGAGCGCGGTCAGCAACGCGAAGGCCGGCTGCAGCACGGCGGAGGGCTGGACGGGAGGCCAGTTCTTGGTCCTGCCAGCTGTCGGGCCCGCCGCCAGCCGCCTGCGCGCGCAGGCCGGCCTCACAGGCTGCCTGCCGACGGCGGCAAGCAGAGCGGAACGCGGCAGCGGGACCGAGGGCGCATATCTCGGACGCCCGTTGCAAGCTGGGCATTCACGCGGGCGGCCATCACCCGGACATGGTTGAAGCCGGGGAGAATCAGGTTGAGCCAAAATGGCCACGGAATTCCAACGGAGGATGAGTGGCAGCAAGAGGAGGAGGAGGAGGAGGAGGAGGAGGAGGAGGAGGAGGAGGAGGAGGAGGCGGAGGGAGACGGGGAGGAGCAGGCGCAGAAGAGGAGGGTCGATGCTCCAGGATTGGAGTTTCAGGGCGTGCTCCGCTCTTTGTTGTGCTTCCCGTGGCCTCTTGTCGCCACGGCTGGATTGTACTTGACATGATTGACATAGCGCTATCGGAATCAGCCTGTTAGAAACGAGCGCCAGGCGATTTGTTATGATCAGGGACAGTGCAGAAGCTTCCGGCGGAACATATTGGTGAGTCAACCGTCATGCCGAAGCTTGACACCAGCCTGAGCATGCAAAGGAGTGGAATTGCTGAGCCTGCTGTCGAAGGAGGACGTGGAGGATGCGTAACAGATAGTGAAGAAGAAGGACGAGAGGATTAGGAGAAGGAGGCATGATGAAGAGACTAGTGAAAGGATGAGGAGGATGTTTGGGCAGGAATGATCAACGCCGACGACATTGACCAGGACGGTAGAACGAAATGGTTGACGACGACAACGGCAGGAGTCAACCATGCAGGCGTTCACGGATCTGTCACCCTAAGGAATCGTTGGAAGCCTTTCGGAGCCATATTGGATTTTTCTTGAGGCCATTTTGGAAGGTTTCGAATCATTTTGGGGGTCAGTTTGGAGCCACCTTGGGGCGCTCTTGTGGATCTGTGTGCCCTCTCGGGGCCATCTTGCAAGACATCGATCAAACGGGGGGGCGGTGCCGGTCAGTTTCGCCCCCCCTTGAGCTAGAAAGGCCACCTCCTGGGGCCCTCTTAGGACGCTCGCGGGGCCAACATGGGCCTCGTATTGCCCCTGTCCTGGGCGATCTTGGGGCCGTCTGGAAGCCTCGGAGGCTCCTCGGAGGGCAGGGCGAGAAGGCACGCACCTTTAGGCTTCTTCGGGCTTTCGGAGGTGTCCTTGGGGTGCTCCGTGGCCGAGCTGCCTTGAGGTGGGCAAGTGGCCTCTTGTAGGGATGATGGAGGACAGAGTTGGCCATATTTCGCCATCTTGACCCCATGTTTGAGCTGTCGGATGTCATGTCGGAGCAACATTGGCGCCACAAGCCTCCCTCAGATGCCCTCGAGCTTACACATGTGTCAAACACCTTCAGCTGTTGAATGATTTTGACTTTAGGCGAAGGGAGCGGCGCGGATTAGCGCCTCCTTTCTGGAACCGGGGAAGACGTCATCTTAGGTCGGTGGTGGGGCTGTCTTGGAGTCCTCTTGGTTTCTTGTTGGGTCTCTCTTGGGCCATTCTGGGGCCACCTTAAGGCCTCAGACGCCTATTGGAAACGAAGGGCCGTGAGTGCAACAAGTATGTGTCCCCCTTTGATCTCGGAAGTATTTGAGCCTCCTGGGAGCATTCTAGGGAGGCTCCGTGGCCACTTGGAGCCATTTTGGAACACACGGGGGGCCTCTTGTAGACATTTGTGATTCGATCTGCAGCCATCTTGGAATATCTTCGCCCATCTTGGAAGCCATCTTGGAGACCATCTTAGACGTTCTAACCCCTCGCGCCCCCTCTGTCCAGACCCGGGGGAAAGGGGAAATGGATGGGGGGAAACTATCCCGAAGTATGGCCGCACGCCGTCTCGCTCAGTCCCACCCGCCCTTCGCCGCATACAATGAGTAGCGCCCGAGTCTCCGCGCTTTGAGCACAAGCGTGCGTGGCAGTCAGAAGGGGGAACGAATCCATAGTTTGCTTTATCCGCCGCTACCTTGGCTCAAAGCGGGGCAGACCCATTTGCCAATGTCGTTTCCGCGTCGTTTGATTTGTGGGGGCGCGGAAGGGCAAACATTGTTCTCTCCATGCTAGCCATCACCGCCATCGTACCCTGAAACTTCCCACGCTCCCAATGCTTCCAGTATGAGATGGCCCCTTGCACTTGGTAGCAGACCTGTCGCACGTGCGGCACTCCTGCTCGCCTCCGTCATCGGCGTGCTGGCGATCAGCATGATCCACGCCGACTACAAATACCAACGACAGCATCCACGTAGAAGCGACCGGCCGGTGAAACAAACACATCGCCGAGATCGAAGAACGCTGGCTGGCGAGCCTCCCTCAACCTCCAGTTGCTTGTGGAGTCACGACCGGCACCCCACTGCAACAAAGCGTTCCGCCCTTTCTCCACCCAGCTCCACTATTCGTGACTCGTCAAGTACGGTCCCGTGGCCATCGTCATTGTAGTCGTCTTCGGCCACATGATGAGGGAACGCGAGGGCGATCAGACGAGGGGTCCTTCCTAGGACCCCGCTGGGACTGCCCCGTATCGCGCGTGGATACGAGAAGCGCACGCGTAGCTCCACGTCCATTCCGGCCGCGCGACGCCATCCCAGCTGGCGGTTGCCTTGCAACGCGGCCTACAGGGCCTGGCGCGCAGCATTGCGACGCGGACCCCGCCGGGCCCAATCATTTTGTTGGGCGGGAGTCGACGGAGCGAGGGCGGACCCGGTCACGCACTGGTTGCATGACTTGGCGCAGAAATTCGAGAAATTAGAAGACGAACCTTGTCAGGGTACGCAGCAAGGAGCGCATAGACAGCGCTACTCCACGGTGGGAGATTGCTCGCGCGGAGGCAGAGACAGCGGGATTCGGATTATACAATTTCCAGCTGCCCTTGC